AGACGCAATTGATGCAACATCAATCCACCAATTAGGTGGATAGTTGAAGCCAAACACGCGTTCAATTGAACTAAAGTAAGAATAAAAACTCGTCGCTTACAAACTAAGTGAAATGACTGATTTCAGTCACACAACGTAGTGTAGCATCAACCACCACTTACCCTTAAGGAGTGCCTATAAGTCAGCAAATTCCTAGAATTGGGAAACGTTTTTGCCATTTGTAAGTTCTTCTCATCTCCGTTGACCCCTCTAAGTTGAATATCCTGAGACTCGTACAGACATGCACATCAGACACGCAGAGTGGTGAAGCCCACTGCTCTATAAAGCAACAGCGAAAGACGCACACATATAGATCTGCATCGAAGTCAATCTCTAGAAATTCTTGAACATCTTCCCAAAGACTGTAGATAATTATATGTGTACCAAATTCTCCCATCAGATTAAACTGTAGTAAAGTAATAAATCAAAAGGTAAAAGACATGATTAAGCTGCCAACAGCGATCAGTAGACATCAAGACAATACGCCCAAACAAAGAAGCGAGATAGCTTGTATGGTACTAAATATGCATGAGTAAAACATTCACGAACGACTCAATGTACACAACCAAAACTTTCATATGAAAGACCCTCATTGAATAGCCAAATCTAAGGGATACAAATTACATCAAGTAACAACACCATAATTTTAGGTCAGTGTCAGCCAGGATTTGGCAAAGAGTGCAAAAGATACATAATTTAAAATATATTGAGAATCATTGTGGTTCGACAATATTTTGATCTTGTGATAAAGAAAGCTTTAAGTTGAAAACTAAGCCAGAGCACCGTATTATATTAAAGCAAATTTCACAGGGAGGGGAAGGGATACATGACTGCTGAAAGAGATCCTCTTCAGCGGAAAAGGGAGAGCACTGTACTATTGTTTCGAGATTTCTCTCCCAATTGCCAGACGAAAACCGTATCAACTGGTTCCAACTGCCTTCGCGTCTTTCATAATCAAGCTGTTCCATTGAGAACATAGATAAAAAAATACATAGTAAGTGTTCTATCCAAAGAGTTATTATCTGGTATCATCTTTCCAAATACATACAATTAGTCGAATTACTATAGAAAAGCTTAAATTTGTCAGACCCGTGCAAAAAAAAAAACAATTGCACTGCTTTTCAGTCGAAATTGTGTTGAGGCTAGTGCACTACCCAAAAGAGCAGTATGTGGCAAATCACCAGAAAGTTAAAGGTTGATGTACATCATCAACCAAAAAAAAAAAATTAGATTGAGCTGTCATTATAGTGGGTACTACAATATCTTCCTTCCCCGTGCTCCTCAAAAACATTTATGAAAGCATCCCAATGCTGTGTAAAACTGAGAGAAAGTCCAAATTTTACTGAAAAAAGATTTAGATTGTCTTAAGAAAACAATGCACATGAAAGGTAACAAGGCAATCAAGTTCAAAAGGGAGAACAGACCAATAAAAAAGTAGGTCGGTAGAACGAAAACAAGTCTTCTGCGTCCTAAAAAATAGCACTAACAAGAGCATTGACAACATTATGTATTGGGAAGGCACGCTTCTATCAAGAGAACCATATGTCAGGGAATATCAACTTCAATTACTTCCATGATTTCAGGGTTACAAAGTGCAACTGAGCAACGAGTAAGAAGCTGTGGGCTTGTAGCAGTACCTAATTTCTCTAAAATTTCATGTGTGAAAACAGTGGGAAAGAGAATAAAAGAGAGTTGACAACCATTTACAGGAGAAAGAAAGTTGCAGATAATTGAGTGAACGTGCAGGAAAAACTTAGGATCGAGGGAATTAGCTAATTTGGCAATGGCTCAAACGGTTAGAAGGTTCTTTTGAGGATTTCATCCGATGATAAGGGCACTTTTGGAAATATCTGAAACTTTGTGTAATGACTACTTAACAGAATTACCGAAAGTGTGGGAAGTACATACGTGTTAAGCAAATTAGATGATGCAAAGAATTACTTTTGGAAATATTGTATACAAACCTTTTCCCATCTTTTCCACGACATCTCGAGAACACTATCACATCTGCCCCAAGCCTCATTGTGCTCGTTTTAAAACCATTGCCGTCTGCAGTTGGAAAAGAAAGAACACCATGCTATCACGCATATAACTTGAGAAAACTACAAGAATTTTCTTCGTAAAGATTTTTACATTGTCCAATGGTATTTGCCAGTTTGCTTTTAGTGGAATACCCCAGAGACATGCACTGTCGCATTTTATCTGGATCCATGCCACCGCCATCTGCGATTAGAGGACAATAGGAAGTCGTCATTTGAGCAAGGGTCACACAATCTACTCTTAGACAAAGAATTGAAAAGGTTGCCACCGAATACACTTCTAAACAGATATACTGTGCACGGACCATATTAGATATAAAAATACCACAGAAACAAAATCACATCAACTTATGATGACAAACTGAAGAAAAAGACAAAAAAAACTCAAAATACCCTACAGCTCTTCCAAAAGCTGCCTGATAAGCAATTCCCAAAGCTACAAAATGAACAATTTGAGATCCATGATATAGATTATACAGTAGTTATTTATATTATGCACTATACACTTCAGCGGTAGCGAACCCCCTTTCTGATTGAAAATAGCAGAAAAGGAAGGAAAAGAGCATGGAAACAGAAACCCAGTCACTTCTAAAGAAGCAGCTCCAACAGTATCGGTGTTGAACTGACTAGATCCATGATGTCACTGTCATCTCCACAGTCATTCCTGTTGTTTCACAATTAGCAACCACATTATGGTCCAACTCATCACTTCCCCAGCATCCAATGATTATAGATGGTTGCTTAGTCTACCGCGTGTGGCCTGTTATAATCTCCAAATATCGATTGACATAAAAGTTTCTCTATATCATTGACGCACAGAGCTGTACATACTATTCTAATTGCTTCTCATTAGATAAATACCAACAGTCCAGGGTCTATCCACCTGTAGAAACCACTTAGAACGAGATTAGCAATCTAATATAACAAATTGAAAGTCAACCACTTCTTACGCCACGTTTTTTTTTTAAGTTCTGACATTGCAGATGTTGGTTTACAATCGCATTTGTTACTATTGATTGCCGCCATACATCCCAAATACCATCAGCAATGGGTACGACTCTCCAAAAGGTGCATGAACGAGCCTAAAAAACGATCCGAACGAAAGCATATACTTCCGAAGGGAAAACTGAGGATGCAATAAAACGGAGAGAAACCAACAAAGCAAAATACCTTCGATCAGCAACATTCAATTTCCATCTTTCTTATTTTGTAGCATATCTATCTTAACATATGCTGCCCCATTAGAAACCTGAATCAAGACAGAGGAAGTAAAGACGCTAAATAGCAACTCCAAAAATAACCACTACATGATTGATAATAGATATAGGAACTACGCATACCTCATCCAATGCGTTATCCAAAAGTTCTGCAAAAGCCGAAAAAGATGCACAAGCAGCGTATATAAGCTTATAGACATCTAACTTCCAGATACAGAGATGATCAAAGTTTGAAAGATAGGCAAGTTTACCTCCAATAGCCCACTTATAACTGGTTGCATTAGAATGTAGAAACTTCAGATAAACCCTGACATGATCAATGCCACCTGGATCATCCAACAGACATAAGAATATGTACCGGTAAAACAAACACTCGGAACTCAAAAAAAGGCTACAACCACAAACAAGACACCGATGCTCTAACCTGGAACTGACAGCGATATGCAAATCAAAAATTGAATAATTTCTCAAAATATTTCCAAGCACGCATTTCAATAAACTAAAACAACGACGAAACAGAAGCAACAATGTAATGTAACCCTCTTTCCGCCACAACCTCAACATATCTCAGCATCAAAACCGAAGCAACAATAACCTAAACCAAAAACAGAAAAAAGCACAAACAGCAGCAAATAAACAAAACACCACCTGAGTAGGAATCCCAATTGCCACCAGGACCGCCCTCGTAATCCCCAGCCTTCCAGAACTGCTTAGCAGAGGCTGGAGGAAGCCCTCGGGGATAACGACGCCCAGATTCCTCTTCTTCGAAGGCCTTCGCCGTCGGATTCACTGCTGCTATCGCTGAGTCCGATGAAGGACACGGGCTGTTTGTCCAAGACAACGTCTTTCTGCGAGGACGACAACACAACGGCCTCTTGCTCCACACGAGCGTCCATGGCTTGCGACAAAGGAAACACCAGTTACCCACACAATTATTTCTTAAAGAAGGAAATCCTTGGTGTTATAGACTAGAGCTGATCTTATTCTTGGTCCTGAACCTAGTGATATGCAACATGGTGGATGTGTACACGGGCCACACTGACTACTTGGTCGTCCTCAATTCTTAGAATGACTAAGGCGAAACAGCAACTAAACTAAGGGAATGAAATCAACAAATTAAAATCAAGTTATTGGATCCATCATATGTCTAACCTCTCCAGAAATTAATCTGGCTCTCAGACCGAGAGCAGAACATGGAGCATCGAGAAGAACTTGATCAAAGCTGTCAGGTATAAAACCTTTGGAATTCTCCAGCCCAGTGCCCTTGCACTGGTTCGTTCCTGGCCCATTCCTCATTCTTCTCGTACTCTTCTTCCTCCCCTCAGCTCAGCATGCATAAATTCTCTCACTGCTATTATCATTTTGTTACTATAGCATTCACAACATCAGAGATCAGTGCTTTGTTACTTACAATTGGAATATAATTTAAAGAAGACAAGCGAATCCACGTCACATGCATCGGAGGGAAGTTAAGAACTACAAGCTACGGTAGGAATATACAGATTTGACATCCCATAATCATAAGAGAGAGATAGATATTCGCTCATTTCCAGGGGGAATGCAGTCGATAAAACAAGTCCTAGGATCTTACATGGCTCACTCAAAGAGACAAAGACAGGCAGAAAAAATTGAAGAGCCAAAGTCAAAGCTAGGCCCAATAGGATCCAAGAAACAAAGAACCGAACTCTTTCTCTTCGGCTGAAAAAAATTCTGCATCAGGAATTGAATAGGAAGTACGCACTATAAGGCAACTTCAATTGGTTTACATGACATCAAACAATCTCAAAAGAAATCCCTGCTTAATCCTGTGTAGACATCTCAAAGAAGACAAAGAGAATCCCTCCAACCTAGACAGCTCAGGGAAGTAAACCACACTACTCCACGAGTCAATTATACACAGGACGTGAAGTTTTATGTGAAATGAGGACGTCCGCAATTCTGCCACAATTAAAGGAAAGAATCTCAGCCTGAAATATCCAGACTTAGTACAGAGAAAATGACCATTCAGCATAGCTCCTTTGCCTAAGGTTCAACTCCAAGAACTTCTAAAACACTTGAAATCTTTTGATCTTCATGTCATCCACATCTCCTCATTCGAGATGGCCGTGCTTCCTCTCCTTGCTTTCCTTCGCTCTCTCTACGACCTGAATACCACAGTTATAGCTCAAGTTTAATTGCATTTTGGCACGCGGTAAAGTAAGTAACTGAAGATGACTTACCAGAGGCCATCCATGCATAGAGGTGTTGGCCATGGCTCGCAGAGCGTTCTGCGCTTCATCCTCCGTAGCGTACTCCACAAATGCAAATCCTCGTTTATTTCCCAAAGGCACCGGCGGGATTGTCAAATGCTGTACCCTTCCGAATGGGCTGAAGCGCTCCCTTAAATCTTCCTCCCTTACCGAAGGTCGAACGTTTCCCACAAACAACGTGGTGGTCGAATCAGCTTCAGCATTCTTTCCTTGGCAATGTTGCAATAGAAGAGCACGCCCATCTAAGACAGTTTTCTGGAGAGAAGACAAATGCATGATGAGCGTATTACAAAATGGAAGTTTATTGAGAAGAAAAAAGGAAAGGCTTACATGTAAATCCCGACAAACACGGGTAGCTGTCTCCACTGAGTCGAATTCTATACTCCCACAACCCAGGGAAACTTGCTCCCCATTTGCCATCTGCTTATCAATCTGTGCAGATAACAACCATATTTTAATCAACAGCTGCGGCTCACAAATCGCAATGCCAATTTTTGTGGGCCAAAGGATTTACCGAGACACTAAGAATTTTCCTCTCCCCCACTAGTTCGCAGAAGTGGCTTTGCAGAACCTCCTCAGTTGTTTCATAGTTGATATTCCTAACAAAAAGCGATCTTTCCTGTGAAAGCAAACTTAAAAACATGAGTATAATCGCCTAAAAGAACGCAAAATTGCTGCATCAACGATCATCTAACGCAACTGATTGCCCGGAAAAAAGACAAACTCCTCGGAAAAGCGAAATGGCGAATTACTTCAACCGAAGGAGAATCCCACGAAGCGCGAGCAACAAGTAATGGTAACCGAACAACACCCGATGGCAACCGAACAACACCCGATCACAAACTCATCCGAAGCGATCATCTAACGCAACCGACAAACTCCTCGGAAAAGCGAAATGGTGAACTACTTCAACCGGAGGAGAATCCCACCAAGTACGAGCACAATCAAACGTTAAGAATCACTTCCAAATAGACACCATTCCATTAAGAAACGCGAACGCAACGATCCCATGAACAAACACAGAAAGGCAGCAAACAACACTCGATCGCAAACTCGTTGGAAACGATCATCTAACACAACCCCAATTCCCGAACAAAGACAAACTAGAGCGAAATCGTGAATTACTCGACGCGAAAGAGAATCCGACGAAGAGCCCGCGGTCGACGCTTTGCCAGTCTTCGCAGCAACCTTTCGAGATTCCATGGCGAAAACCCTAACTCGAAGCCTGAGCAAAACTCCGAAACAGAACCTCCAAACGAAGAGGAAGCTGTGGCTCCGGAATCACTTGAGCTCTCTCGTCTGGCAAACCGTGGAGCTATGGAACTTTATAGAACATTCTCTTTGGCGGGAATATTAATGCCGGGATATATTTGGGAAAATTATAAAAGAATGAGCATTTTTTCCATGACTTTTGAAAATTGAGTTAATGATTGGGCTTTTTCCTGCAATTTAGGCCATGAATAAATTACTCCTTCCAGCCTACTAACGAAATAAAGTGACTCATAAATTTAAGCTGTTGGCATGCTTAAACATGCAATAAAGCATTTCTCTTATATTAAGTTCATGCAGCAGGTTAGATGCGTGAATAGTTCTATTACTTGCCCCTACCTACGCCCCAGCGATGGAACATTTCATAAGCTTTGCCTAAGATCGTGCATCTTTCTTAATAAATGTAGTTCAAATCAACAGACGGGTTCATCGGGATATCTTTCTCAAGCGAGCTGCCTCGCAACGATGCGATCGGGTACGTGCCGCAATGTCCTCTGAGACCCGCTTGCTAGAGCACTAAGAAGACGATACAATACTGACGGCATCATTTTGCACCATTTTTCACGCTGCGAAGACAATAAGATGCATTCGACCAACCAAAAAAAAAAAAAAGACAATAAGATGCATGACTAATGGCTTGGATGGACAACAAGATATGCAATGCATTTTGTTCCTTTTTTTCTTCTTTTTTTTGAGAAAGTTGTTCGGCTTACTCTGGCACTTTGGAAGAATTTCTAGGCAAGATCTTGTTATCCTGTAAGAGTTATCGTGATGATATTTCACCAAAACCAAGCAAGCACAATATTGATGGACGAGTTGCATCGTACCTAATCGAGTCATAAATATGTATGTCCTTCTTACTCGTGCGAGAATTTAGTTTGGACGAGTACCCATGCTTACACAATCCCCTGGAGCCATCTAGAGCAAGCGCAAACCTGAGCTCGGATAAGGTGAATTGAAGAATCGTCGAGCACCTCGTTGTTAGGAAAAATAGGAATACATGTAATGAAATGCACAAGGGTTAAATGTACTTAAGTTCCGTGAACTTTTATAGTTAGTTCGTTTTTTCGGCCTCGGTAATTTTTTCTTTCACATGAATAGTTAATCCTTGTGGCGGCTGTAATAACGGGACACTGGTAAGATTTCTGACACGTAATAAACAAAAAAAAGTGCTCAAACTTCGTTACTGTTCACATGTGCAAGACCTCTCATTGATCAGTCTAGTCACAAGCACTCTAATTATCGAAAAACACCTGGTCAATATCTGTATTGATATGAGCTTCTTTATTTATGATTAAACATTAGCAAAAAGTACTTTTCTTTTGCTTTTCTGTTTAAGCTTAAAAAATTATCTAAATCTACAAATAAACTATGCAAAATTATATGCGACTTTACATGTCAACTTTTACTATATTGGCGAAAACTTTAGGTGTTTTAGGTTAAAAACAAGCCAAGTGGGTTCCTAGCAAGCTTTAGATCATAGCAAAAAATAAGAGGCAAAAACTTTATTGAATCGCGCTGTTTTCAAGTTAATCATGCTCGTGTTATGTCCGATTTGTGTTTCTTTTGACAATTCTGTTTCAATGTTTTTTGAAGTAATGGAGCTTGCACCGTGTTAGGTTCATGCTTCTTCTATTTCATGCAACATTTTGAGTAAATTATCGAACTTACGAGCCATGTGCCTTTGAGTGGTGCTTCTCATATAATCCAAATAGCGGTCCAATTGTGTCACAACTGGTGTTGTCGCCATTTGTTCGTTTGAAATTACATGAACCAATTTGAAAAATTTACGCATGATCTAAAAACAAAGTTGCATGTTATAAAAGTCTCTCTCTAGATCTTCCCTCAGCTTTGAAGTGTTTCCCAAGTGTTTGGATACACGCTTTCGTCTCACATCAGTTTGATATCAAAGCAGAAGTTCGCAAGTCAATTGCCGTCCAAGACCAACTTTTGCATTAGAGTTTTTGCTGACCATTGTGATCAAGCTAGAGCATTAAATCTAGCCATGTGCCCCGGGCTACAAAAGAAAAGGGGAAAAGATTGTGACATAGAGCTCTCGTTTTAGGCTACCATGCCCGTCGAGCGCTTCCCTACCGGCCAGGGATTGATAGCGCACCTACTAAGCCTGCCATTACCAACGATGGAATAATCGCTGAAATCCAATACAAGCTCCGTTCTTGATTGCATGGGAGATGATGTGAAACTTTCCTAATTATTATCATCTTTGGTAAGTCAATTTAGATGTCGATGAGCATGAACGGAAAAGAACTAATGATTTCATGTAAAGATCCAGATATTTGTTTTTCCATGTACAAAGCAGTTTCGTTCATTTACTCATTGGAAAAGGGCTTACGCCCAATTCCCCGTGTGTGAAGCAATTTCATCGCTTGACTCGTTAGAAAGGGCTTCCGGGCAATTACACCGAGGTTCCATTTCTTAATAGTATTCTTATCTTTAGATTCATTAAGATTTTGGTTGATGACATTTCTCTTTTACTAGTTATCCGATTAAGATATTAGTTTTACCGATCACACCATGTATATCGGTGTTGATGCATTCCTCTAATTAGCTTTTTGATTATGTTGATATTGTGATTTATTTAGTTGTTGCCAAGTTTTGGCTAGTCTTTCCCTTTCCTCTTAGCTTTTATGTGATTTTCTTCCTCTCTTGCTATCTAATTTTCTATCCGTTCTATGACTCTCAACAAATCTTTTGCTATGCGCTTCCGTCCTACGTCACCCAAGCTGGGCAATACCACCAGCTCCAAGTGGGTGCCATATCCACACGAGAACACTTAAAAGAGTTTCTTAACGGCGACAAAAATTTTCGAAATGGTCATAATTGGTCTCTAATGCTAGTCGTGTCTCATGATGGCTCGAAAATTAAAAGGTTGGCAATGTGGCATCAAATGATTCGATCCAACTTCAGTAATCTCTTTCAATTACAAACGTAACCTATTAAAAATCAATTATGTCCGATGGGTGTGACTTAATCCGCCACGACTAAATGTAGAGCCCGAAACAAGGGCCGACTTTGTTTCTCTACGATAACTTTCTATACCCAATGTTACATTTCTTTCCTTCCAAAAAGTTGCACGTCTATCTCAAATATATGACCATGAACTAACAAGTGTTGAGGTTTTTGGTCTTCTGGAGATCTAAAACTCGCGCTGTCTAGACTAGATGATGACCATACAGGGGTTCATCTCAGACGTGGTGTCTCTAGTTATCCAATTCTTTATCCATTAGGAGCCGTCAGGGCTTCAACCTTACTAACTCACCATCCTCTTCGACCCTGATTGCTTTTTGACACGTCCATGAGCCGCCAAGCCTCTGGTCACGTCGATGAACCTCTTTGAGCATATAGTCGTATTAGATTGCAATGACCAATGAGTCTGTGTTTTTCGCACATTAGGATTATGTCAGTGTTGACATCCAAAAATGACTTAATCTTTTTAACTGACATGACGCTGCTAGGAGTCGGTGATCTTATCGCCGAGTTATCAATAACGGAGACGCTGTGGTCAATGACCATGTTTATCAATGACCATGATGCAATTATTGTTGGAATTACATAAAATTGATTATCAGTGAGATTGAGCTCGTCAGATGAGAAGGCTGCAAGCATTAAAGAAGAGCCATAAAGACTTCAAGAAGGCTTCATAGCTGTTTTGTTTTATTTATCAACGATGTGTGGTTGTTATGTCTTCTTTATTAAATGTTGTTGGCGTTTGTGAGCTTTAATTCCTATACATAGAGGGATGAAGGTATGAGTAGTAAATTAAGGCATAAGCACGAAGCCCCAAAGAGAAAGCATTCTCAATAAAGGTTGTGTTCATTTCCGGAAAAAATATTTTTTCGGAAAATATTTTTCGCTTTTTCCGGTGTTCGGGGGCGGAAAATATTTTCCGTGGGAAAACATTTTCCTTCCCCACCCCCAAATCCTTCATTGTTTTGAGGAAAATGACTTCCGCTTCTCAGAAGCGGAAGTCATTTTCCGGAAGTCTGAAGCTCTGCTTCAGACTTCTTCTTATTTTCTTTTTCTTTTTCTTTTTTTTGTTGCTTCTGCTTCTTCTACTCAGCCAGTCGGCGGCTGGCGACCAGCGAGCTTGGCCTCGCCAGAGCCTCGCCGATGACCTCGGGCGAGGTTCGCCGACATCCGGCGACCTGGGCGAGGTTCGCCGACGTCCGACGACCTCGGGCGAGGCTCGACCTTGCCCAGCTTGCACGGCCGGCGAGCTCGGGCCTCGCCAGATCCGGCGACCTGGGTGAGCTCGACCTCGCCCAGGTCGCCGGATCAGGCGACCTCGGGCGAGCTCGACCTCGCCCAAGTCGCCGGCCGGGCGAGCTGGGGCCTCGCCGGCCTGTGGCAACGCTCAAGCTTGCCTCTGGCCGGTCGCCGAACGTCGGCCGTGGCCGTGGCCGGCGACCTGCTGGAGAAGAAGAAGGAAAAAGAACATAGCCGGCGGCGATCGTTACCGAACGCCGGAAAATATTTTCCGAAACTTTTTCATATTTCAGCCGAACACCGGAAAATTGTGTTCCGGAAAAACATTTTCTAGAAAAATGATTTCCGGGAAAACATTTTCGAAAAACACAATATTTTCCGCCGAACGAACGGAGCCAAAAAGTTCTCCAAAGTTTCCAAAGTTTATTATTATTCTTTTGGTACCAACAATAAGAGGATATCGAAGAAGAAGTGAGCTCAGGTTATCTAATATTGTACTTAACAAAGACATATATTACCGATTTAGTTAGTGTCCTACTGTGAGAAGGAAAACCCTACTAATATAGAGAAGCTTCGTTTTTCATAAATCTTGATCCGAATGGCATACATTCTCCACATGGTGTTCACTTCTAAGAAAGCTTTAAGAGTTGTTGGGGTTGGTGAGATTCTTTTGCCTGGAAATTTTTCTATAGTGTGCTTTTCTTTTTACCTGGAGAGTGACTAGTGTTAGATAAAATATTCAGATCATAGTGTAGTTTCCAGCGCATGAAGCTCTTTACTTAATTTTCTCCCTCACTAACTTAATTTATTTTATTCTTAGTTTAACA